TGATGGCCATTTTGTTGTAGCCGGACACGGGCTGCCCGACACTGCAGATGATATCAGACTCGTCTACACCACGGCGGTCAACGGTATAGGCGAGATCCTTAGGGCCGAGCCAAGTGATAATAACGACAAGGAAGATCACACCGAAAGCTCCAGGTTTAGGCTTGCCAAGTACCGGTCCCTGGAGGCCTGCAAGGCTCATGACCCTGTCCAGTCTTGGCCATGCCGGCAGCCTGTTAAGCAAGTAGCCGCATTTGATGTCGGATTTGTCATTCTATACGCCGATGGCTCGGTTTCAACACTTGGAGACCCACGATATGAGGATTGTCTAGGCCGCGAGGTGGATGACGCAAAGTTAGTGCCCAATAATTCACTCGGCAGGTTGTCCCTTGGTGTTGTTGTTGAAAGTGCTGACCGGGTACTAGTCCCGCTGACGCACCTTGCGGCGTTTCTGAACTAAATGATCTCGGCGAGCCAGTCCGGAAGGTTGCAGCTGGTGGGTACATGGTGACTGCATTAACCACCTCCGGAGGACTATATGTCTGGGGTATGGGATCTGTCGGAGACCAGAATCAGTCCCGAGCCATCCCTGACATATGTGGCATCCCAAACTACGTTGAAGTGGATGGTGACGCTGACATCGAAGATGTTGCCGTTGGCACATCTCACGCAATTGTGTTGACGGGCGATGCAAGATTATGGGTCATAGGTGATAATATGAATGGGCAGCTTGGTTTAGGCATGGATGGCACAGCTTGCATACAGTCGTGGACGAGACTTCACTTTAGTTTCCCTGATCTCTATCATCCAGTCGGCGTGGCTGCTGGACCAAGATCATCCTTCGTCATAATGAGTGATCAAAACAGGCGGGAGAGCTTGCCACAAGAAAACTAAGTTTGAGTTGTCAAAATTGGCCCATTGAGTCGTTTATCACCCTCTATTTTACAAGATGACGGTTTGCTAACTAATTACCAGTGGGTTCCCATTCATCCATCAAATCATAGACTCGTTAGGTAGTCCTCAATTTCCTGAGGCGTCAGCTTTCTGAACCGGGGTCCCTGAGCCCCTTCAACACCCTCGATTCCCAGAAGATGGTCGGCAGGAGCGCCCACGATACCTGCAAATAGAAGATTAGCATGGATCACATCAAATAGAAAGGTGGGAGGTGATGGTTGGACAACATACCGATTTCGATCGAATCGCCGTTCATCTCACCCTCAATGTTGTCCTTCAGAGTGAGAAGAGCGATGTGAATGGCATCCTCGAGCTCCAACTCTTCCGAGTATCTCTTCTCCAGGAAAGTCTTGGCCTTGGTAGCGCTCTTGCCAATAGCAGTAGCCTTCCAAGGATAGTAGCTTCCTGAGGGGTCAACCTGGTACAGCATAGGGCCCCCCTTGTGAATACCACCAGTCTTGCTGGACTTCTTTGTTCCGGATTCCTCAGTGTCTTGGACCTCGCCCTCAACATCGGGCTCAATGCCCTCATCCCAGCCAGCAACCAATAGACTGACGCCATATGGTCGAACACCCGCAGATTGAGTGGCCTCTTGCATAACCTTGGCTACATCCTGGACCAATATGCGGGTGGGGGGGTACTCGTTGTAGATTCGCTTGTAGCCAGTGTGGGAGACTTTGCGTGCGCGGTCAACCAATACTCGATAGTCGGGGCCCATGCCAGAGTAAACCATGCCAATATTGGGCGTGATGCTGCTAATCTTCGACACTGTCTTTTGGTCGGCTAGAGGGGACGATGACTTCTTCTCTGTAGCGAGAACGATGCCGTTGGTAGCTTCACAATGTTAGCTTGGGCGGCAGATCGCGGGGCTGCATGGGTCGCCCTACCTTTGATACCCAGAGCCGTGATACCCTGATTGACCGCATTCAAGGCATATTCTGAAAGGCAGCGTGTTAAATAATGATCCTTGAAAAACAACCGCTAGACTCGAGCACCGAGACGTGAGAGGAATCCCTACCAATTTGCACCAGTTTACCACTGTGATATCATTAGCATTTGGACTTCATCTGCATCCGAGGGAACAAGCTGCCTACCTGGGCGAGAAAGTAGTCAAGGAGAAAGAATAGCGGTCCGCCATGTTGGGCCCTGTGATTCGAGCGTTCTGGTTGAGGTTGCTTGGGAGGGTTGGGCAGTTTCGCAGATGGTCGAGCTAGCTTCCGTCTCTGTAGTTTCGCCAACAGCTCGAGCTGTAGTAATACATGCCGCACTTCACTGGGCAGGCACCCTTGGAGCTTCGCGTCACAGAGTAGCGGGCGGTCGGTCGGCGCGGCATATAGATTATCCGGAGCCCGCACTTTCATGCCAGTCCCACATCTCACCAAGCTTTCCACCCCCAACTTGCTTGGGTACTCGAAGCTTCCTCGCCATTACCCGATTAGCCCTGTTTGGACACATTACTTGGCTCTTACGGTGTCCTTTTCTAACCTCTACATCTCAAGGTACTCTTATCTGTAGGCGATCTCTCCCGGCACTTTCGTGCATACGATGTAGTGCCTATCCACTGGGCCCATGTAGGCGAGGTTTCATTACTTCAGGATTCCCTAGAAGCCACCGGCTTCCACCAGCCCATCAGATTTTACCATCCCAAGCAAGCATAGACACGCGCGTGCTCGGCAGCGTCGAGCTTCCAACCTCCTCCATTATGGACGAACAACCCACTTGGGACTGGTCCTCGCTTCGAGATAGGGCTACCGCATGGACATCAGGTACCGATTCTGGCGCTGAAAGCACGAATCAGACCGGGCAATCCGACTCACAAAGCCAATCCTCTCAACAGCCGCGCGACAACCCCAATGCGCGAAGATATGGCCCACGTTCATGTCGGATATGTCTGGACACGGAACAGCCAAAGTTCCCAACAGATAATACGACGACGTTTGGCATCTCGCCAACTTCGTCTCGTCCAACATATGTCTCTGACGACCCCGAGTTAGGAAGACTGCTCTCCCCTTGCAAGTGCAAGGGCTCGCAGAAGTACGTTCACGAAGGATGCCTCAATGCCTGGCGATTGGCAAATCCAACCGCTACACGCAACTACTGGCAGTGCCCCACGTGCAAATTTACGTACCGCATGTCCCGTTTGCACTGGGCCGCGATATTGAGTAGCAGGGTGGCCCAGATTGCCCTCACACTGTTCATTCTGCTTGTGAGCATCTTCATTCTGGGATTCATTGCTGATCCTCTTTTCGACTTGTGGTATGATCCTTTTGGCACCCTCACGGACACTGTTGCCAGCGTCATAAACGACATCGAAGCTCGGAATGAGCCGCCCCCGGAGCCACCCGCCACTTGGGCCGAGCACTTTGCGAAGGGCTTCTTCTCACTTGGTCTGGTGGGGTTCTTCAAAACCATGTTCGCCATGACACCATGGCAATGGTTTAACCTTCGCAATACCGGAGTGTTAGGGGGCACGGGGCGACGTCAGGGCACAGGCCGAGGTCGAGTTGAGAATATGAGTTGGTTCCTCATTCTTGTGGGAGCCATTACATTTCTCATGGGCATTTGGAAGTTTGTGAAGCTGCTGAGTGCTCGAGTGCTCAAAAATTTCAGTGACAAGGTTCTTGATATTAATGGTGATGATGACGATGGTGAGGACGAGGAGCCCATCGCCAATGACCATCAGGGGGAGAAGACAGACTAATGGCTCAATTCGAACCCCCACATCCTACAGTCCTTTTGACTGAGTTTCCTTCGGATGCGTGCTTTGTTTGCCTTGCACACTCTTAAGTTGTCTCGAACTCGCTCTTCCGTATCGAGCTAACTAGTCTGTGTGCATATATCAAAACTCTGCTCATGCCTTGAACTCTGACCGTTTTGGCCATTGTTCGCTGGAAGAGTACGAGATTGTCAGTATTGTATTTGACCGGCTCGTCTTTCTGACGTGCTGTGTTTTCTTTGCTTCTTCTCAGTGCTCCCGAAGCCATTTTGATGAGCAGGCAGCTCTTTTATTCGCTGATACATAAAACCAATAAACTCTTGTAGACATTTGTATAAATCAGGCAATACAGAATAATAAATCGCATTCAAGAATTTCAGTCTCGGCCAGTTCTCTTTTTAAATTTGCCAAAGGCATTTCTCGCTGCTCAGCACTCAGGATCGTTCTCACGAGGAGCCGTATTGTTCATTGCACCAGATGCCAGAATAGGTACTTGCATACACGCCCAAAATATGGTGCAGAATGAGGTACCGACCGGAAGGATCCCTTTCTCCACCCGTTGAGCCGCCAAAATAAAAGGGCCCAAGACCCACTATAGGTGCTGCCAAAGTGTTGCATGGGACGCTTTTGGTGCTGAGCTCATCATTGTACATCATTATATGGAAGCGACACAGTTAGCTTTCTCCTTTCCAGCTTCAGGTCTTGGGGACGGCCGCTGAAACTGTTCTGTGTGGGGGTTTATATCACATAATTACTCGCTCTCTGGAAGGCACGAACTGTTGTTCAACTGATTGAGATCGCTTATTGCCAGCTGGTATCAAGGGCAACTTGGTGCGACTCTCCCCAGACAAACCGCCGAAACCTGCACCCACGCTCGCGCAGCGCCTTTCGTCGCATCCTCGTCGCATACGGACAATCGAAGACCCTTGGACGGATAATACTTGGCGACAATTCTCGTCTTCGGGACGGCGTTGATTGCCCACCCAACGATCCAGCAAGATGCATTTCGCCTACCCCCTCGCAAGAGCTCGAATCCCCCTCCCTTCAGACTACGGCCGTCGAATCTGCCGCTACGACGGCGACCCCGACCGCGCACGGTGATAATTGTCTTATTCACATTTCTACTCGGCATATTCCTCTTATCGCGGCGTGGAAGCGGACCAGACCCCTACCATGAGCATACACCTACGGGAAACCCACCAGTGGTCATTGTGACGGTGGTCGATCCCTCGAAATTCAGTGGCTCATACATAAAATCTATAAAGGAGAATCGAGAACAGTACGCCAGGAAACATGGTACGGATATGCGAACGCGAATTGCTCCGGGGCTATAATGCTGACATACAATCCAGGTTACGAGACTCATATTCCAAACGTCGACGATTATGACTTGGTTAGCCACCACAAATCGTGGTCCAAGATTATGGCCATGCGTCACGCGTTGACCAAATACCCCGATTGCAAGTTCATCTGGTATCTAGACCAGGATGCGTACATCATGGACCCGACCAAGTCTCTGACAAGCGACTTACTGGACAGCAAGACCCTTGGAGGCCTGATGATCAAGGACTATCCTATTGTGCCACCCGACAGCATAATCAAGTCGTTCGCTCATCTCAAGAGCGATGACGCTCGTTTGGTTGTGAGCCAGGACAGGGATGGCTTAGTATCAAACAGCATTTTCCTCCGAAATGGCGACTGGGCCAAGTTCTTGACCGAGACCTGGCTGGATCCCCTCTATAGATCGTATAATTTCCAAAAGGCCGAGAGGCACGCACTGGTAAGTCGCCTCTCCCCATTATGCAATGATTTTGGAGCGGAAAACTAAGTGAATTGCCATGAAGGAACATATGGTTCAGTGGCACCCGACGATTCTATCCAAGATTGCTCTTATCCCACAACGACTCATTGCATCATATACACGAGCCAATCTCGGCGCTGAATATCGGGAAGGCGACTTCGTCGTCATGTTCTACGGGTGTACGGTAGACGGCGAGCGAAGTTGCGACAGTGAATCACAGTTGTACAGGCAGAAGTGGCAAACGGCATTCCAGGCATCATGATCGATCATTTGCGGCGGAATCGGATACTTGATTACGATGTTCGAAAAACAAAAGATGGAAACGCATTCCTTATTCCTTACTTGGTTCTCCTTCCCCTGGACTGGCGTTTGATTGGTGTTGGTTAATGACACCTTACTGGTTGCGTGTAATAGATGCGAATCGACCCATTAGGCGGGTGCGAAGCGTGATGATATGATGATAAAGGGACCACTACAGAAGCGGAGCTTTGGCATTTCATCGGGAATCTTGAATCACACAAGGTGCCAGTAGGCTATACCCCGGCCACTTACCGTTTTCAGGTGGATTTCCTGATACGGACTATTCACGGGCTCTGTATTGGAAACAGGCGTTTGCTCCATAGATCGAGTTGACGGTGAGGTGGTGGTGGCTTTTGCGAGATACAATCCATATGTATGATGACTATATGTGGTTGAGTTTTGTTGGTGTGGATAGGCCTTTGAATATCACACGTATTGTTTAATGCCTCGCAAATTTCATGAATGTCTTCCCCTGGTCTGCTCTCTTGTCTTAGCCCAGGCTTCCCCAGATAATGTTTCATGGGGATCATGCGCCTGGCTCCTTCGTGGTTGACATTGGCTGTCTACTCGGGACCGGGAGAGGGCTGGGACCTTTTGGGATACGTAGCCAGTCTCATCCTATCCAGCGTGATGTGCAATTGAATGTCAATCAAACTTAAGATGATTTGAAAAATACGAGTCGTCAGGAGTCCCCCCGTCTGGCTACTGACTGGGGTAGGTGGCCAATCCTCGGCTCCCCTTCAATTGGCAGGCGGCCGGATACTCGCATGTGATGTGTGTCAATGGCCCGGACTCCGTACCCTAAATAATTGATTTGTCCGAGTCACTGCTTTTTTGGTATTAGATCCGGTAATAATCAATAGTTGTCTGCACGTACCTACGTCAAGCAGCATCGAGGTCGCCGATTGCAGGATCCACTGACACACGCTGCTGGTGCAGTCCAAATCTCCAACTAGAGGCCGTCCCCCACCACCTAAATACCAGCACTGAGATCCTGCCCCGTCACCGCAAGCTTGCAACCGACAAGCACGAGAGCTTCACACAACCACGCAACCATGCCGGGCAGCTCGCGGATGCCCATCAGCTTGCGGGCCAGCTTGGAGTCGGTGAAGAAGCGGAAGCCCAAGCTGACCCTGGATATGATCAATTTGGACCTGTGAGTATCCAATGCCGTCGCCGCTTCCGTCCGCTGCATGGAGCTGCAGGGCGGTCCCAATCGATGATGCATTGATGCAGCCATAGCTAACAACAGCAATCGTCGCAGGCTGCGCAACATTGTCTTCATTTACTTCGCCCTACGATGGATCCGAAAGGGCTACTGGAAGCTCAAGGGCCGCGGCATCATTGGCGCCATCCTCGAATTGTACTATAACACCCAACGCATCGCATACGGCATCTTCCTCCGCGCCCCCGGTGTGCGCGGAAAGGTGCAGAAGCAGGTCAAGGAGTCGCTCGACAAACTCTCCGACAAGCTCATCAAGGTGGACACGACGCGGCACCTGGTCCTTCCCAAGGAGGGCATCCCCCAGGACGTGATCCGCGTCGAACTGCAAGCGATGGCCGACATGGACCACACGAGATGGGAGGATGGATACGTCTCGGGCGCCGTCTACCACGGCGAGGACGAGCTGCTGAAGCTGCAGACGGAGGCGTACGGCAAGTTCACAGTTGCCAACCCGATCCACCCGGATGTCTTCCCAGGCGTGCGCAAGATGGAGGCCGAGGTCGTCAGCATGGTTCTCAACCTGTTCCATGCGCCCCCGGGAGCGGCGGGTGTGTCGACATCGGGAGGCACCGAGAGTATCCTCATGGCCTGCCTGGCAGCTCGACAGAAGGCGTACGTGGAGCGGGGAGTGACGGAGCCAGAGATGTAAGAGCTGACTGACACATGACGATGCCATGACACGAGCGTTGATACGATTCATCAACATATGCTGATTCATTTGATTTTTTCTTCTAGGATTATCCCCGAGACTGCACACACGGCGTTCCACAAAGCCAGCGAGTACTTCAAGATCAAGCTGCATCTGGTTGCGTGCCCAGCGCCGGCCTACCAAGTCGATGTCCGAGCTGTCTCGAGCCTGATCAACAGCAACACAGTCTTACTCGTTGGGTCAGCGCCCAACTTCCCCCACGGCATTATCGACGACATCTCCGGCCTCTCCAGGCTTGCGCTGAGGAAGAAGCTCTGCCTGCACGTGGACTGCTGCCTTGGCTCTTTCCTCGTCCCCTTCCTTGAAAAAGCCGGCTTTGAGTCGGAATCGTTCGACTTCCGCCTGAAGGGGGTCACGAGCATCAGCTGCGACACCCACAAGTATGGATTCGCTCCCAAGGGCAACTCGACAGTTCTGTATCGCACCTCGCAGCTGAGGACGTACCAGTATTTCGTGTCACCAGACTGGTCAGGCGGTGTCTACGCCTCTCCCGGAATTGCTGGTTCGCGACCCGGCGCTCTGATCGCCGGTTGCTGGGCGAGTCTCATGTCAGTCGGCGAGGCTGGTTACATGGACGCATGTGTCAAAATCGTCGGGACCGCCAAGAAGATTGCCGACGCTATCCGCGACACACCGGCATTGGGCAGCGAGCTGGAGATTGTTGGCAAGCCCCTCGTGTCCGTCGTATCCTTCACCGCTAGAAACCTCAACATCTACGACATCGCGGATGCCATGACAAACAAGGGCTGGCACTTGAACGCTCTGCAGAACCCACCGGCGATCCACGTCGCAGTTACGATGCCCATTGTCAAGGTCTGGGAGAAGCTGGTGTCGGACCTAGAGAATGTCGTCGAGGCGGAGAGGGAGAAGGAGCGCGTCCGCCTTGTAGAGGGCAAGGGGCCCAAGGGCAAGGCCATGGGTGATTCCGCGGCTCTCTACGGCGTTGCAGGCTCATTGCCAAACAAGAGCGTGGTTGTGGACCTGGCCAACGGTTTCTTGGACATCCTGTACAAGGCGTAGCCTAACTACTAAAAGGTAGTACAAAGGCGCCGTATGGTGTCAGCTCTGCACACCCTTCAGCTCCTCATCGTCTTGTCTGCTTAATCGTTGTTTCACCTGCGTCAAAATCATACGTCAATCCATTTTTCCGCGTACTACATTATATTTTTTTTTATAGTTTTCGTTGAGCACCACCACGTCACAAGCATGATACATACAGGAAACACGGCTGCAAAGTAGGAGAGAAGAGCCGGGGCGTTGAACAAGACAAGCACATGGGATAATGCCCCTCCTCCCCCCCCCCATTGATTTTTCATCTTCACTCATTCTCATTTAGCAAGACGAGGAGGCATCGAGTCATTTAGTTCATTGATGAAACAGTTTAAGCGGTTCAAATGGTTGTAAATTGGAAAAAACTATACCATACATACTTTACCCAACTCCCCATGAGACTCTTACACCCTCTACTCACTGCCGTGCAGATTAACTTGCTTATTTCTCACCACTCCCCTCCTCCCACCTGCATCCAGTGCTCCTACGAACTGATGATCCCTCAATGCCAACTCACACAGAACGATTCCTTGTTACAGCCTCAGCTTCCTCCCTCCCCTTCCCGTGTTGCCCTCCCTCGTGTCTAGTACTCAGCGGACTTTTCCTAAGCTGAACACAAACACATGCAACGGTGATGCTGTGCCACAACCCAGCAGACACCCCTCCCCCCTCCCCTCCGTGCTCACCATACCCAACTACTCTGCCGTGCACTCGACGGACTCATCCCGATTGACCCCTCACCAACTGCCAGCAACGCGTCCGTGAGAATTGGCCAAGCTAAACCCCGCCCTCAACCCTCACGCTGGGGTCTGACCGCCTCTTATCCTTGGTTGCAATTCGCAACAACCGTCCTAACCGAGCCGGGCAAGCTCGAGATATCTGATGTCATCTCATCAACTGAGATGGTGGGCTCGATATACCCAGGGACTTTAGGAGCCGGGTTTGTCTATCGAAGGATCGGTGTAGGTGGCTTGCGGTAGTGGGTGGCCTGTTTTTATCTGAACGTTGCCTTTCTCGCCACTTTGTTTCGTTGAAGGCCAGTCAAGTTGGAGATTGGGGTTTCTCAAACTTGATAGATGAGGGGGGGGATAAGACGCATGATGGGCTCAGAAACCTTTCGACTTTTCGACCTTTTTTATTTTCTCTCTTCTATGGAAACCCACACCTGTTCGGACTTCTCCATCGAGAACGGCGTGGTGGAAATGCGGTTTGTGCTACCCCGCGATTCGGCCAGCTGCGGTCATTCATGTTGGTGTGGTCTGCTGCGTGCATATGCAAGGCCAGCGAGAGAATTCATGGCAGATGGGAAAGATGCCGGTCGCCGAGCGGTGCATCGAGATTAGGGCCGAGGTGGTCTCGATTCGTCCAGCCAAGGGGGTTCTTTTGAAAAGCTGGTTGTTTCTGTGAGCTGTGAACGGTGTAACCATATCTGAAGATGCCAGCATTTGGTCTTTTAGGGAATTATCCGCCTGAGCTGGTAGATAGTCTTGCAGAAGCCGTCTTTGATCTGGGAGGGTGGGTACCCTGTAGCTGTATCTCATACATACATGAACTGATCCCGATTGGCTCTGAGATTACTCAGATGGGATATTATTTTCGAGAATACCTCCTGAGTCATAATTGGTTTATGTTTTCGTTTTCGTATTTGATATTTGTCGTGGCAGGCGTCGTTGTCTCTCAGTTGCCTACGAGTCTCACAAGTTTCCCATCTATCCAAGGAGGTTTCAAGTCGATTCATGCTGTACAAACCCCCAACATCTTCACTGGTGCGTGAGATGCACATTACTCAGAATCGAAACTGTGCCCAAGGGAGTATCCCGATGCATAGAGGCATAATGACTCGCCGTGATGTTCTAATGTGGACTCGGAGCTCCCGGTGATAGACACGGTGGTTCCCTGGCTAATCGATCACTGGTTGCCATCTGTCGCAACCAACGCCGCTTGCAGCGGGAGTTTTGTCATCTCGGAGGCTGAGTAG